ACCTCGATGGTGGCGCCCGTCATATTATTTACCATAGCTAAAAGTTAAATGCCTGTCAGAGATATTGTATTGATTACCGGTCGAGGCACCCCCCAGCCGCCGAAAGGTAGATTGTGCTTACCATCAATCGAACCACATGCATCCATTAAGCTCTGAAATGCGTCCACACATGTTTCGGGGAGTTCATTTAGCCAGCCCATTTGATGTCGAATAGCGCGCTGAAGCGGGCCGATGGCTATAGGAGGACTCGGCCTCTCTGTTGTGTCCTGCGTGTAGCTTTCAACACCAATCCACTTTCGCAGCAGTGTCACCTGCCGAGGGGTTGTCTGGTCGTCACATCCCTCTTCTGATCGCAGTTCAGGACAGCAGTCCTGCATCCATGAGCGTAGACTTTGATCTCTCTTGGCACGTTTGAGGATCACGAGCGCCTTGCAGCAGTCTCCTCTATCCGCGGCTGGACCGGAATCGGTATACAGCACTCGACCGCAGATAAAGCAGGCTCCGCTAGTCTCATCTTCCTCACTGCTCCTTGGCGTGCGATTTATAAGAACTGACAGCGCCTCCCAAACTTTCTTCCGACTCGGACTTGTGGATGCGGCTTGCAGAGCTGACCGGTCGCTTCGTCCATTGAAGAATTCGGACGCGGCCGGGCTCGCCGGTGGGGACTTAGAGGACGCCAAAGGCTTAGAGGCTGAGGTTAGTTTTGAGATTTGCCGATTCACTAACACGACGGGTCAGTGAGTGAAATGAAGAGAAGAATATTGATCTGTCTTACGCCCATAAGTCCACGCTGCTTGGTGCATGTCTTGTAGGGTGGTAGTGTACTCGTTTGCGTTGATCTGTGGACCTCCCCTGAACCCTTGCGGGGAATCGATTTGTACTTGGCCGGTACTATCCATTATTGTACAGATCAGACGGTAAATCTGTCGTATGGGAAAGATATAGCGGGTTGGGTCGATGGATTCTTGGGTAAACACGCTGCCCTTACTCAGGACGTCCTCACGCCTATTGCCGCTCAGCTGCCCTTTAGCAGTCCGAATTAGATCCTGTTCCATTGGTTGCGACCGGAACAATCGAAGACCTGGCTCAAGATCTGCGGAGCGAGGCCGCTTGAAAGTGCTGTAGCCCATCTGGGTGGTCAGCTCCACTGGCAGGCAGAGGTAACCACTGTCGCAGCACTCCTGGTCCTGCACCCCACTGCTCAGCCAGCCTCCGATGATGAGGAATTTCTGTTTGGTGGCCACTTGCTGCCAATAACGTATATGCTGCCAGAGCGGAAATGGGCGCGATATGGAGCGACTACCCCCGTGGAATTGGAAACGAGTAGGGACGCACTTCTTCGAGGATACTCCCCGGAAATAGGATAGGAATGGGAGAGATCCATGGTTTTTGAACTCAAGAACTTCTTCCTTCGCCCAGATATGCTCGGCAAAAACAAATGAGGCGATTGGATGGCCGGGATCAAGCGGAACGCATACCAGTCGATCCAATTCACAGCAGATGCTATTGAAACAGTCGCAGAGCCAGGGCAGGTCGGCATTCAGTCTTAGGTCCCCCCGCTTCTTCTCGTCAGGACTCTGCTGTTCTTTTTCTGCAGCGCTGTCCTGTCTCGGGGTAGGTCGACCAATGTCATCTTGGATTGTAGATGGGATTAGCGTAGCGCTTACGACATCGGTCTCGTCGGCGCCTTGGTCATCGTCGTTAATATTTCTGTCCTTGTAATCAGAGGTACGATTCTTACCATCATTGCTGTGCCTGCTCTTGATTCCATCATCGCTGCCGTTGTCATCACCACCGCCAGTGTTACCATCGCTCCTCCTGCCGTAATCACCGTTGTTGCTGTCGGCGTTGTTACGGTCTACAACATGCGCGGCAACCTGGGTACTCATGAACTGCAAACAGGCTTCGTTACCGTCTTCTGGGATTTTCGCTTGCTGTGACAGCTCCGTGACCCTTTCGATTGCTGCTGGGGTCTTGGCAATTATACTTTGAAGCATCGCCTTAAGAGCATGGCTGCCCTTGAAGACTTTGAAGTCTTCAAGGTCAGAATAGACGACCTCTCGCTCTGCCCATGCGTCCGCCACCTCGTGGCGGCCGATGCACACATAGCTAGCGGGGTTCGTGCCGAGCTGGAGGAAGAGAATATCCCATAGGCGTGTTGTAAGAAAAGGTGAGAGACTTGGTGGATCTTGTCGGCAGATTGGTGATTGTGTAGACACCCTGACAGCACCCAGTTTGTGCTCGACTCGTACTGGCTGTGGGATTTCGGGAAAACGTAGAATGAAGTCATAGATGAGAGGCGAGACCGGATTAAATTCGACCTCGGCCACGGCTGTCGCTGCAATCTCGTCCCATAATGGTCGAATCCAGGTCGCACCACACAAAGGCGTGCTAATGTGTCGTGGGCTTGGCGTAAGCTCGACCTGGAAGCCAGCAAAACGCGCCCCGGTCGTCGGATTGGTGTATGGCGTCCCCATCAGCGATCCAGCTGCAAAGAGGCTCCGAACGGCTTCGCGTAAATCGTCATAGTGAACTAGGAATTGTTCCATCCAATATGGGCTCCCGCTGATCAAAGCCAGGGTGCCATGGTTGACCCCGGTGCCACGTAACCATTCGGTCGCTGGAATCAAGCCGATGTAGTCGGGCTGATCCTGGAGTATCTGAACGACGACGCCGCAAGTGACTTTCTGTGTCTTTGGGGAGTGAGGTGGATGCACAAAGTCTGAGAGACGTGTTGAGCCGGCGATCAGTCCCGAATATTTGATGTCGAATTCGATAAACTGGACGTCGCCACGGTCGCTCTGCTCGACGGCCCATCGCCACGTCTTCCAGGGTGAATTAACAGCCCATACCGGAAGGTGACCCTCCTGAATGAAGGCGCCATCGCACGGAGAGCCCTCAAGACTACGAACTGCTTCTACTTGACTCGTTTGGAGGCGACGGAAAAAGTAGGTCTCAGCCATAAACCCGCAGGTAGTGAATGCGAAAGGGGTATGAATCACCTGGCGAAGTCTTGTGATCTCTTCCTGGCTTGGGTCGCCGCTAGGAGCGGTAGGAGCCGGTGATTTCATGACACTGTTGGATGACATTGTCGTCCCAAGGGTACGCGTATCAAGAAGGAAAGGTGGGTCTGGTATGAGGAGAATGATAGTAGATCTTGGACGATGTAGAAATATTCACATCATACCTACAGGTATTTTATATAGAAATGGGCACTCGATAAAAAAACCATTGTGGGAAGGTGCGCATCAGACAAACGGAAGGCGCATGATGTACCTACATACCAGCTACCTTACCGCGGTTAATGAATACAATGTTATTTCAGTTTCAATGTTATTTCAATTTTGCTGTCATAACTATGTTGGCCCATGTTAAGGCGGCGTTAACATGTTCCAACATGGTCATAGCAGTAAAACTGAGGTAACATTGTATTTATTGCGAGTTGAAACCCCCTCTCCGCGGTAAAGTCTGGTGCCGCGGACTGTTGCGTACGGGCGTTTTTTTATATGAAAATCCGGCTATCTTAGAGTAGAATGTGGTGTGTATGCAAATTGACCTGTATAGAGGTTATCTGAAGCTATTTATGAGGTGGTGATCTAGCTAGCTGAGGTACCTACCTATGTTATTGACACCTGGAACCAAACCCCTTTGTTTAGGTCTCCGGCTCTTTTTAATTTCACCACCTTTCTATCTATTTACTTGTTCACCTACAGCTGTAAAAAGGTATTTCTGCTAACACTGCTTGATTTTTATAAAGAGGTATTTCACACGGGTAGTCTGCGCCCCGAACGGCGCCGGGTTGGGTTGTGGAAGGGGCCCGGTGATAAGAATGATAGGAGTGACTGTAACCATCGGCTGGATGACATTTTCAGTCTCGTCTGCATGGTTGCCAACCGTCAGCACATGGACTGGACGATCAATTTCGGCGATGGTGAGGATCCTGCGGATAAAGCTGGACATGGGTTTGATGGTATTTGATACTGCCTTGATGAATCGTGGGACTGACTGAGGACCAAGAGAGAGTTTATCGACATTGGATGGTGTTAGGTGGCAAAGAAGCGTTGGATGTCCTTCACAGAAGCTGTTGGCTTTGTAGGGCCTCAGAATGATTTGCCACCTTTTATATTCCAGGCTTCTAGGCACTACAACCCACAGCGTATATATCGAGTTTTACTGAAGGTTGTTGACCTGGCTCTGGTGAATGGAAGAACAACCCTTTATGGCTTGGGGACACCATGCTCCTGATCGCAGGGCGTCCGCGACTGATTCCAGCTCTGACTTGCATGGCACAGGTGCAGCAAAGCGATTCTTTTCCGAGATACCCTGCGCGTTAGTAATGTTTTGGAAATGTTCTATACCGTCGTGGGAGCTGCCAGCGTACGCCACGTTGTTTGGGGGTCCAAGGATGATTGTAACGAATGGCTGTGCTTGACCAGGTATTATTCCTCGGAGTATTGAGTCACGTAAGAAGACATTTTTTGAGAAGTCAAAATGTATAGAAGTGAAAATCGCAACTACAGCGCAGAAAGTGCACACGCCATCTACGTAATGTTTGTGTGCGTTGCATACTTTAGCTGTAAGATAGAGACCTTTAGAGAGTCAGTGCTGATGCGTATGAGGGTCAAGTTCATTACGCTACATCAGACGAATTTCAAGTTAGCTTAAAACCAGCACTTGAAACAATGATTGTCGTCGACCTACTCTATGGATATGTAGAATTATGATAGTATCTTTAGACCAGTAACTCGGCTGATAAATATATTTAGCGACGCCATTTTCGAGACTTCCCGTCGGACATGAAATATGGCAACGATCGCCCGCTTTACTAATAAAGCAGAGAAGGGCAAGAATGACAATTGATGACAGGTAGCTAGTACTGATGACCCATACTCAAACAAGATTCGCAATACGGAATACTTGGACAAGATAGGGCGAGCTGCTGAGGGCGCACCTGGTACGTGTTCGTCAATCCCGGTGGCCCGGACGGGAAAAAAAAATATTGGACCCACGGGTGATCGAAACCCGGACCTCCCGCAATATTTTAATGCTTTTGCAAAGCGGGCACTCTAGCCACTGAGCTATGAGCCCCAAATTTAAAATCCACCGGCTCAAAATCTGCTCTAAGTAGACTGACATCTCATCTCTATAATAAATAAATAAATAAAAGTTGTATACCATCAAGGTTGTATAAACAAGTCCATACCTTCTCATTGGCAGAATACGCCAGAAGTTAGTCTCTTACAATTACTGCGTACCATTTTCTCACTACCACAACCATCCCTTTCCATTTGGTGTGAAAAAGCTGTGTGGATGGTGGACTCGTGCAGGTAGTGGGGACAGCCTCTATGCAGCGCTTGCCAGTGACAACGCCCAACGGCACACTACATATGCGGCCGTCCCAGCTCCAAAACGAGGACGTGGCATTCTCGTCTTGTGATCAAAAGGCTCCGAGAGAATCCATCAGCACAGGATACTTCCCAGCTTCTATCATCCCAGGGTCGAGGAAGTTTCCATTTTGATATCTTGTGCTGGCCGCTCCGATCCACCACTGCGAAGAATCCGCCATGGCTCTCCTTGAGCGTAAGCGTTGCCGCCCACAGGACCAGGAAGGTACCAGCAATCCACTCGACGTGGCGGAAGACGAGCCGGCAACCCCCTCTTCAAAGACCGAGCATAGGAGGCAGGAGAAGGCCATCAAATCGGAAGCTCAGCCCCAGATCACGGCTGTGCAAGCCATGGTCCTACAGCGCGTCAAAGGCAAAAAGACTGAGCTCGGCCCGCCCTTCTTCTCCGAGCTTCCAAGCTCTACAACGTTCAGCAATCTCTGGAACTTATTCCAGGTCTATGCCACAACCTGGCAGATGAAAGCGGAGGTGAATGCGCGTGTCGAGATTGGAACACTCTTTGCACTGTGTATAAATGATTATATGAGTAATTGGGGTAAGATAGGTCAGTATCTGAATGTCCTGATCGGATGTGTCTGAATGCTAATCTGGTACAGGTCGGATGCGGCACCAGTGGGCTCGACCGGGTGGCAATCCACAGGCCTACGCCCAAAGACCACATGTCGAAAGCACAGTGTTTTTCGGAGCGCGGGCTTGGTCGAAAAAGGAGCGGGAGTCCTACCAGCAACAACGGCCAGTAGATCGAGCGCGTGGCTGCGGCTGGTTCTCACCGGTCCATTGGCTCAGCCCTGATACCCGGGCCATCCAGCTCCAGGTCTTTTCTGTCAAGCCTGCCCAGGGCAGAGAAGCAGGCGAGGGTGACGATCAGCGGACTCAGGTGAGACTTAACTTCCGGGACGCGGATAACGCTATCCAAGATGCGAAACAAAACCCAAGCGCTGTTCTTATTTATACGGGTAAGGAGCTCCTCTTTACCACCATGGTAGATTTGATTCACACAAGTATGCGATGGCTAGGGACCAAAGGACCACAAGATGACACCGATATCGCCATGCTTGAAGGGCCGGCCTTGATCAAGCGCAATAAAATGCTTGACTGGGTGCTCTGTCGGGACTCGGAGCAATGCCAGAAATGGATAGAAGCGAGGCAAATGCAGCAAGGAGATCGGATGGAAGAGGCACTTTTTGATCGGCTTAGCAGGATGGTCATGGACGATGATGAGGTGGTCCAGCCGTGGGGGGTTTTATACGACGCTATAACGCCCGAAGGGACAGATGGTGCTTGATTCGGCAGAAGAACTGGGAAAGCTCATGAGCAGTATACCACGGTCAAATTCGCGAGCTCAAAGAACTCAACCCGCGCCTCTGCAGTAAACGCGGGAGAGTAACCTGTACTGGACGAAAGGCTGTTTGAGCGCTGCAGATTCACCAATAGTGAGCACATTAGAGAGGAAGCAGGCGTTTGAGCAGCTGCTTTCCAGCAGAGGTACATCGAAAGGCGGGAAGGAGGTCCGTCTCAAGTGGGCGCAGGCCTCTTAGGTGTTTGCTGTAATGTAATTCTCATTTTGAAGGGGCATATGGCCAGCACGTTACAGATAGATCGTCATTTGCTGGCAATCTGTGAGCTCAAGCGTGGATCGACTTGCTCACTGGATGGTGCAAACATACCTCAATCTATCTCATTGTCATAACCTGCACTCCCGATCGATTGTGTGGAAGGACAACGCCACCTACTCCGTTTACTTACCATAAATAGGAAGTTTGCATATGAAGCGGCGTCCAACGTTTAGGTCAATCCCATTTAGACATGATATTTCCGTCTAGTACCCTCTGCTTATGTCTCCTTTTCATCTTGCCTATGCACTCATTCTTTTCAAAGCCTTCTATCAGGCAAAGCTACTCACTTTGTCCGTCAATACCCTGAGTCACTGCAGCCAGAAGGCGTCCTCGATTGTAGTCGTGGTATAGTCGTGGTGCTCGACCACCATCCGCACCTCACGTCGATCGTTGGCGTTCGCCGTAGGTCATGGTCTGGAGCTGGAAAATGATAGAGGACAAATGGAAAAAGAAAGGATGAAAAGGGGTTGGCGGGATCATTGCCAAGACCAGAATACGACGGGAGGCGGGCTCCAATTGACCCTTGGAATTGGGGGCCCCGGAGCAAACTCACGCGCCGCACTTCAACTTGTGCTGGCATCATGAGAAGGGCGCGCCATGCGAGAACTTCGATATGCAAGCTTCTCTGGCCTGCAATCTTTGTCGCTCTCACCCTGTTCGGCACTGCGCAAGCCTCACTTGGTGACAGACTTCCAGACTTCAAAGACTGCGTTCAGGTATCCGGTTCTCATCTCTCCTGTATGAGCACAAAGCTCATAGCGTTACCAGGTTTGCATCAACTCTAATTGCGTGGACGGCAATGCAAACGTTCGTAAGTACTTACTTGAACTTTAATATGGTACGCTTGTTGCTCATAGTATAACCAGCTCTTCGACGACGCCTGCTTTTCTGGGACTGTCCCTCTGAGTGCGACTACACCTGTCAACACGTCGTGACCAACAACCGTCTAGCCCGCGAACCAGAATATATCGTTCCGATCCTGCAATTCCACGGCAAATGGCCCTTCCATCGCTTCATGGGCATGCAAGAGCCCTTCTCCGTCGTCTTTTCCCTCCTTAATTACCTTGCCCATGATCACGGCCTCAACAAGCTACAAGAGAAAATCCCCAAGGAATATCCGCTGCGGAAATACTACATGGGCTTCGGCTATTTTGGACTCGCAAGCTGGATCTTCAGCATGATCTTTCATACTCGCGATTTCAAACTTACTGAGAGATTAGATTATTTTGCTGCCGGTGCGAGCGTCCTCTACGGTCTCTATTTTGCACCAATCCGGATCTTCCGGCTTGACAAGGATGACCGCCCGGAGAAGGCAAGCGTGGTACGGGTGTGGACCGTCTTGTGCGTAATCGCGTATCTTGCGCACGTATCCTATCTCTCGTTCTGGAGGTTTGATTATACATACAACATGGCGGCCAATGTCATTGTCGGAATTGTCCAAAATATTATGTGGAGCGCTTTCAGCATCTATAGATTTCGGAAATTGAAGAGGCAGTGGGCAGCGTGGCCTGGCTTGATTGTGGCCTGGCTTATACTAGCGATGAGCTTGGAGCTTCTGGATTTTCCGCCATGGGGTGGGATGGTTGATGCGCATGCCCTGTGGCACCTTGGGACTGTCGGACCAACGATATGGTGGTATAGGTGAGTTTTCTTGACCACAATGCTCTGCGTATTCACTGATAAGGTGCTAGCTTCTTGATTAAGGATGCCCAAGAGGACATGCAAGGCACACATCTGAAGGCATAGAGGTATAAATGTAAATTCGTGTTAGATAAAGTATTGTCAATACAAGGTACCCGGCGTACAAAATTGGGATTGTTTCTTCTAGACTCAGAGCTTGCCGGACATTCTACTACGCCCTTCACATCTTGTCACGGAGACCTGAAGCGTGCCAGGAAAAGGCCTGAGAGTTGGACTGGATTTCCGAAGAGCTTCCACGTGCCTCTAGTAGTTATGCGGATTTAACGGCAAAGTCTCACTCATCACAAACTTCAGTGCAAATGGGCAAATTCATTCCTCGAACACCGATCCGAGCAACCAGTAAGTAGTAGGAGTGAGTTCTCTTCTCAAAACTCTTAAGCTTCACAAGGCTGTACACTGCCTTGGTATCTTAAAAATTGTGTTTCACACGAAACGACTTTCAACACGGAGCCCTCACTTGGGCAAACTCTGCAATCTTAATGATACTGATATTGATTGACTAAACAGCTATACCTAGCTGATGTGGTTTCGCCATACCCATGCAAAGCAACCGACCGAGCTACAAAATACACGGCCGCGTCCTTAAGGGGGCAGCCCTTACTTCAGAGCAAAGAGAAGGAATCGCATCAGAGAGAGAGAGAGAGAGAGAAAGAGGTTTGGGGAGGGTTCCAGCAATTCTACCAGGTAGAAAGAAGCACACAAGACAACCTACAATTCATCCCCGCACCACCCATCCGATCCGACATCGAATTCCATCACCAGCAAAGCCGCTTCCCAGACCTTCTCTAAAAGCCCTGACTCCCAATCGGCGCAAACGGCCTCCCCCCTCCCGCCAACCCAGGCGGCTGCTGCACGGGACTCGCGATCGGCCCCAAGCCCCCCAGCGGCCCTCCTCCTCCTCCTGGTGCTGCTCCTACTCCTCCCATCTGCCCTCCTCCAGGCGGCCCACCAGCAACAACCCCACCACCCAGCGGCTGCCCAAGCTGATCATTCTCATACTTAACCAGCACGCGCTCGCCCTCCTGCCTCATCTGGAAGCTCCCCCCGCCATTCTGCGCATCGCCCAACGTATCCAGGATATCCACGACCTCATCCCTCGCGACATGCGCCGGCGGCGGCAGCCCTGCGTTCAACCCCGCCAGGATGTCAGCGATGTCGTGGAAGCCGTCGGCGGTTGACGATGGGGATGACAGGGGTGCAGGCGCGCTGGGGGCCGTGTGCGTGTGCTCGAGTTGTCGGCAGATGCGGCAGATGCTGATGCGCAGCTGGCGGAGGCGGTCGCGCGGGTTCTGCGGCGGGAAGACGGTGGTGGAGGCGGGACCGCCGCCGAGAGAGCCAAAGGGGGTGGGCGGAGCGGGGTTCGCGG